TGCGCATGGAAATGGAAAGAGACAGTCATTAACCAGCTTTGAAAGCAATGAGACCAAAATTAGACATATTAAAAGATTTCCTTTTTGAAATATTCATGCCTCTTTTGAAATCTTGGATGAACCTGGACACCTTTGACAGTCATTAACCAGCTTTGAAAGCAATGAGACCAAAATCAGACATATTAAAAGATTTCCTTTTTGAAATATTCATGCCTCTTTTGAAATCTTTGATGAACCTGGACACCTTTGAATTTTGAATGCCTTCAGGCCACGCCCTTCGATTGGCCTTAAGTTGCCTCCTTCGAATGGACTTCTTGTGTACCCTTCGAATGGACCTTCTGAATGCTTCTTCGAATGGACCTTTTGTGTACCCTTCAAATGGAACACCTGTACATCCTTCGAATGGAACACATGTACATCCTTCTAATGGAACACCTGTGCATCCTTCAAATAGCCCTTTTGTGTGTCTTTCAAATAGCGCGTATGTATGCCTCGTGCATTCTTCGAATGGTTCACCAATATGGGCTCATAATATGGTAATCATATGCTGAAAGGTTCAGAGATAGAGTTGACGCAAGCAGTTTCGAAGGGAACTATTGCCCAGTCGAAGCTTGCACAAAGGAAGCCAATGCCTTGTGGATATTAGCATGAGGAGGTCATTTCTCTGTGAATCGAAGGCCAGTTGAAAGGGTCTTGGCCTTGTGCATTGAAAGCAAGCACAGGGGAAGCCTTTGCCCTTGTGAATCGAAACAAACTTGTAGGGGGGTTCTTGCCTTGCGAAGTCGAAGCCTTGTGAACTTAACTTGATCAAAGGAAGCCCATCACCTAATCGAAGACCTTGTGAACTTATCTTGATCGAAGGAGATCCAGTGCCCAATCGAAGACTTGCAGACCAAATCCTGATCGAATGGTTTTAGATGCCCAATCGAATCTCCTTGTCCAGATGACAATCGAAAAAACAAATTGCTCAGGGGCTAATTGAAAACACCATGTCTCAAAGCCAATCGAAGACACCTTGTTTATCTTCAAAAAATTATTTTTCTTTAACCAAGTGTTTGTGACCACCTATATAAGAGAAAACCTTGGAAAATATGAGAGGGCAAATTTTGGGGTACAACACTGACGCATCCATATCGTGAGGCTGAGGAGGGGCGGCTCTAGCCTGCTTGTGATGACAATCCCTCTCGCGACGAGCATAGGCAGTTAGGGTGGATCTCCCAAGTATGAAACTTTCTTGGTTTTCATCCATCCTGAAAAAAACATAACAAAAATAAGAGGAAAGAACGAGTTCGGATATGCATATCTGGAAATCTGAAATAGAACAATTCTGATATGCATATCAGAAAAAAATCTCCGACTTCAACAATTGCAGAACCGTTTCCGCAACTGCCCTAAATCATCCAAACTAAACCAAACTCATCCAAATAGTTTAAACAGAGTCTCCAAAATTGTACACTAAGCTACTTGAGCTATCTAATGCATTAAAACTAGTACATTTGAGCTAATACATTAATCAAAAGTCAAAATAAGTTAAGTGATAAACTTACTCTTAAATGTGTTGGTAAGGACTTAGACTATTTTGATGTTGAATGCAGTAGGTATAAGGAGTTGAGTATGGTAAGAAACACAAGAATGCAGCTTCAAAACTTGATCATGAGGGTATACTTTAAATGGGTTGAGAGGGAGGTAGAGAGAAACTCTTGTTTTTATGAAAAATGAAGAAGGAAGGAGAAGAGGGAAACTTTGGCGCGACCTTTAAATAGGTCCATCAAATTCGGAGATGCATCTTCGAACTAATTTTTTTAATTAAAAAAAAGGTGTGCTCGAAGATGTATCACCGACCGCACCCCTTCCATTGACTTCAGGCTTGCATCTCTGATTTTTTCTTCAAAAAAATGGATGTCGGTGCGTCTGAAGATACATCTCCTAAAACAAAGAACTTTTTAGGAATTTCACGTAGGGCATGGGAGAAGTAGCAAGGGTGGGATGAGAAATTGCCTTTAATTTATGAGAAAACAAAATTAATTCATGAATTAGTAAATACTTATGTGTGTTCTACAAGAAATATTTTATGGTCATTTAAAAAATTAAAGTATGTGTTGATTTTTCGTTGCATAGAAATATAATTTATTTTAAATGTATTGTCTTCTATGGTGGAAAATGTGTTTAAGGGAATGGGATTTTTAAAGCGGAGTGGCAATTAGAGTTTCTGGTGTAACGAAGCTGAGAGAATCTATAAGGTTAATATTTCAACATTCAAGTCTATCAAGTTTTAGAGATGTAGTTTTGAGTGTGAGAATGAGATAATACTCGTAAAGAGTGCATGGAAAGGTTTATATACGTCTTTTGGTCGAAATTATCTCGCTCTGATTTAGCATACAACATAGAGAGTTGTTTGATTACATCCAACAATAGGAGATATTTTGGAGGGTTGTGATTAGGTATCTCGTGTCTCGATGAAACTCCCTTTCTTCCTCTATCTACTTGGAGAGGTTATGGATTTGGCCTTCATGATTGATCTTTCCGTTCTAGGCCACTGACATACCCATAACATTTTCTCCCAACTCCCTGTCGTTGTTTGGCACAACGTGGACTAAGGTTGCAAAGTCACTCTATATCTCCTCCTTGGGCTTCCCAAGTGAGCCTTTGCTCTGGAATGGTGGAAATAAAAAAGCTTGGTGGGTAAGAGTAGGTAGCCTTGAGAACATGCACATTAAATGTCATTTCAGATACTAAAATGTTTTGTAATGTTATTCCTAAGCGCGACTTTATATCTCTAGTATAGGAAGTGGTGATGCTATTTAGAGTGCTCGAGTGCACTTGAGTGTCGTTGCTATCTCAAGGATGATTTTTATCTTTGATTTCATCTTTTAAGTTTTCCTTTATTTCAATCCATAGATTCTCCTCTTTCGTCTTCTTATACAAGTGTGACCCCTTATTATGAATGATTATTTTTTACCTTCTTGCACAAATGTGTCACTTCTTAAAGATTCTCCTATGTTCTTTTCTGGGTTACAATGATACATGTTTGATTTTTTCATCTTCATCTATTTCAATTTCCTCCATTTGCTTATAAGTATCTAGGTGATTTCTTCACCATATTCTTTTATTCTTCTTTCAGAGTGTCTCTCTATGGTAACATCTCTTTCTCTCTTCATCCATTCATTCTTGTTCTTACTCTCTCTTTAGTCATGGCCAACTTAGAAAATGTAAATTAAGATGAACTTTGTGGACATACCCAGTGGGATGAAATAAGTGATGTCTTTTTGCACACTAGAGTTATTGACCCGAAGGTGTTAGATACAGTTCATCCAATGGTTGTACTCCCTGAAAATGTTATATTGATTAGTGATAGTTCCAATTTTAGAAGGACATCTGATGACAATAAGGAATCTGGGGGTCTTTAGGAAACGAGGATCTAGAAGGGCCCGTGGAAAAGGATATGAGGTTTAACCCATTTATACTAGATACTAGGGAGGTTGGTCGCGGTTTTTCTTTCCCTGAAGTATTCTTAGTGAACCTAGAAAAAGTTGAGAATTATCAAGGTGACTTAGGATTCGTGTTTATGCCAAGGCCTTTTGGGCTATGAGCAGATCAGTACCTGGTGATGACAAGATCAGAGGGCATCATGAATCTCGAGCACATTCTAGAATTTATGGTCATGATTTTTTGTTTATTTATAGTGAAGAGGAGATGGTACAAAGAGGACAATAAAATCTCAGACTTTCTATTGACAATAAAATCAACAGCACTAAGCCCTAAAATTTTGAAGGCCTTTTTGATTATTGAACAAAAAAATTATTATAAAAAATATAAGAATTAGTTATGATTTTTCTTTAAAAAGTGTTCGGAGTATGACTATTTTTAAGTAATTAGAAATTTTAAGTTATATAATAATATATTTTCGATACATAATTTTTAATAATTAATATATATTTTCTTAATCTAGATCTACTTTAACTTTTGAATTGATTGGTCCGACTTTGATGATGATCAATATCTCTATGGATGGAAAAATAAGAACTTTGATTCCCTGCAGTCGCATCATTCTGCATTCACACCAGTCTAATCTGATTGTCAGATCTTGATTACACTGTTCTAATTCAAAATAGGTAATTTTGAAGAAAAAAAAATATATCTATTTTTTCTGAACAGTGTGATCAAAATCAAACGATTGTTAAAGATTTGAAAGTGTGATTGTGACAACAGTTTAATTGTAGAAAATTTAATTTGGAAAAATAGTTGATTGTGCTTCGTAGTAAAATATAATCTATAAACTGAATAATTAAATAAAAACAAAATACCGAATCCAACCAAAAATTATATTTAGAATAAAATACAAACAAATTCAATCAATAATTAATTTAGGAAAATGATGATCCACGCGTTTGGGGATTCTTTAAATATTTAAAATAGTAAAAAAAAATTAAAAATACATGTAATCAATACATTAAAAATTAAAATAATTAATTTTTATAAATAATATTTTTTTATATAATATTCTTAAAAATTGCCCACAGCGCACTCGTTAACATGAACCATTAATTAATTAGAGTTGGTTTTGCAAATTAGTTATTTATTACTAAGAAGTTATGAGTACATATAATAAATTAATGATTAAGGTGAAGAAGTGAAGTTATAAGAAAATTGAGATTTCATTCCCCATCCCTGCTACAAAAATATGTTCATCGGTCAATATAAAATATAATCATTCCTAAGTGTCACATTGATGGTTTTTTTTTAAGTACTCCTTATTTTTCTCTAACCTAATACTATGCCCCACAACTATTACTGTTTTTCATCAACATATTCCCCCTATAAGAGCTTCCTGGTTTGTCCTGTCCTTGATATAAATTTGTGGTAGAGATAGAAGTTTCCTATTTGTTCACTGGAAAGTCTATATTCTAGAAAGTCCTTAGTTGCCCAAAACTCACTATATATTTGCAATTATATCATAGAATTTGTGTATCATATTGTGCTTTGACCCAAAATTTTCAGAAATGAATGATCCCAAGTATGCCTATCCATACCCTGCACAAGGTAATTTTATCATCTTTCTTCTCTTTATACACATATTAGATCTTATAGCTACTTACAAATCATGTGGTAAATATTAAATACCAGATTTCTATCATATACATACCATGATTTAAGTTTTCATCCTCTAAAACCAATATTAATTTTCTTCATATTATATGATTTTTTTACTTCTTGATGAAATATATTGATATGGTTTTATTTATGGTGGAGAAAACTACCCTTTAATTTATTTATTTTCTGTATAAATATTTTATTTTTTCATTAATCAAAATGAATCACGTCCTTAATTTATGGGAAGTTTATTGTTGGCAGGATATTATCAAGGTCCCCCAGTGATGGCACCACCTCAATATGCTGCTCCACCACCCAGAAGACAGAGTGCTGGATTCCTTGAGGGATGGTCAGTTTAAATAAATAGAATTATATATTTTTCTTTTTCTTTTCCATCTTCAAAAAAAATAAAAATATTATATATTCAGCTTTTAATAAATTTTCTTTGTTTTTATGTGTTCCAGTTTTGCAGCTCTATGTTGTTGTTGTCTCATAGATGAGTGTTGCTGTGACCCTTCAATCTTATGTATCTTCTGATCATATATGAAAGTTTCTGCATCTAGAAAAATATAAATAAATAAAAAAGGTATCAGTTATTTAATAGTTTAATTTGCTTGAGGTTTTTATTTGTGTTATTGGAAATCTGGTTTTCATTTTCAGAATTGTCTTTAAGTTATTTATCTTCGTGGAAAACAAACAACTCTGGAGTTAAATTGGGTCCACTATGTCCCCAATTTTGAATCTTCAAATTGAATTTGAATTGGGTTTTGGTTGAAAAGTGGAATGTAATTTTGGTAATTTTGGTTGAAAAGTGGGTGAATAATGTATGCTTACTTTATTCAAAAACTGTGTGCCAGTTTGTAATATTTTTTAACAAGAACAAGAAGAAAAAGAAAAGAAAAAAGAATGTTTCTGTATACCTCTTGAGGGGGGAGAAAAATTCTGAAAATTCGATAATAATTTTTAGAGATACATCTCTGAATGTATTCTAAATCAAAATGTTTTGAAGATGCATTTTCGAAAATAATCTGTTTGGATTTTAACGTTATATTTAAATAGGCGGTGATATTTTCGGAGATACATCTCCGAAAATACTCTGATTTGATTCTTTCGGGGATGCATCTCCGAAACCTTGAACAGTGATATATTTTCTTAAATCATTAATGTGTTGATAAATAATTAGATAAAAACGATAATAAAAATGCAAATGAAAAATGATAAGACATAAAAAACGATAATAGACACAATAAGTTGTTCAAAATAAAAAATACAATAATTGTTCATAAATTGTTCTGAATTTTTTTTAAAAAAAAATCCATAGCCTATTGCGTATGCCTGATCCTTACTCCTCGCCCCTCCCCTATCTATTGTATCTCGTCACACTTTCTACCTCCCCAACCATCCGCTCTACAATGGCCACCGCCTTAGGACCATCCCGATCAATGATACCTATGTCCAAAGCTTCTCGTCCAATCATCTGTATTCGCTGACATACCGACAAGAGATCAATGTCATGGTCATCTTCGGCCTGCTAGTTCTCTAAGATATCCTCATGAGCTGACCTAGGTGGACGTCTAGAAGCATCTAGTGTTATGATAGGATGTGACATTGTGTAGAGCCATGTCACGTATCCCTCAACACAATGTCAATTGCTGGTTGCTTGCATCATCTGACACCATATGATTCTCCCAATCCTGGAAGATGCCATCGAGCTCCCGACAAACAATAGTGTCGGGAGCAGCCTGAAAGGGAGATTTGGGTATATGGTCTGCACATAGAAAAATTATTGCATGCATCGCTCCGGTAGATACCAGACAATAGTATCAATCCCACATGCCAACCACTCAGAGTACAGTGAAATAGATTTGAACTGGATAATCTCCCGGTGATCCTCGAATGGCGTCTATAGGATGTCATCATGGAAAATCCTATCTAGATACACCCGGAACGACAACATAACCTGGTTCTCTCTGTGGGGGGTATACCAAGCAGTCCTTGACATGTACTCACTATACTGCATATCCAACTCAAAACCATGGATATGGTGGAAGTGAGAAATGATCTAGTCCTGAAAAACGAATAAGATTCATGTAAGAACAAATTATAATTATTAATAATAAATTAAATTTAATAGTTGGAATGATAATTACCGTCAGCAGTGTAGCAGAGTCTGTCAACTGCTGTGTCCTCCAGTTAGAGGCTTCATTAAGCTTTTGGTACAGGTATATCAAACAACCGGCCCCTTTTTTCTACTCTGTCAATGTATCCAAAGCCATGAAGTATTGGAGGTATGTTACATCCACGTAGTTGGCGCTTTTGTCCATAAAAATAGACGTGCCAACCAAGTACATGAAGTAACACCTCAGAGCACAGTGACGATGATAAAGAACAAAGAAGTCATCACCCTCTGACTCGGAATCAGCTATCGTATATACGTGCTAGTGATATAGGTTCTTAAGAAATGAGAGCTTGGCATTAGCCCCATTGGTGGAGGAACATTGCTTAAATGCCTCTTTTGGTTCAGATTCCAGATAGTCGACCATCCATTCTACTATATCACTACGATCGATCAGGGAGTAGTTAAGTAACCTCCCTCTGATAGGAAGGTGTAGTAGGAAGGCGACGTCATCAAGTGTGATCGTCATTTCCCAAATAGGCAAGTGGAAAGATGACGTTTCCTTGTGCCACCTCTCCACAAATGCCTCCTACATGCCGTGGATGATGGTGGTGTAACCGGAGCAACAAAGGTCGGCAAGTCCGGAGGAAAAAATGGCCTCTCTGAATCAATCCACACCAGGGTGATATAACTCGGATATCTTCTGCGCATGGTTTATGCACTTTAGTGGTCATTGTTCCTGTAAACATAAATAATTAATATCAATTTTAACATATTAGTGCGTAAATCATTAAAATGAAAAGTATAACAAAAATTAATATACATGTCCCTATGAAACATATCAAGTGATATGGTCGGTGTAATAGATCAAGATGAAGGTGTCATACGGCTCTCCTGCAAAACCTGGATTAGCCTCATCTTCGGCTTCTAAAACATCAATCATTTCGGGTTCTAAAAGTTGAACCCGCTCGGGTTCCTCCTCCTCGTAATCCCTAGACAAGGACGCACATGAAAGGTGACTCCTCGGAGTAGAAGTCAATGTTCCATCCACTTCCTCTCGCGGTACCCTCTCGGGTCCTCGACGCTTCGTAGTCTGCTAAGCTCTCTCTCTCTCTCGTCGAGCGGATGCAGTTTGGCTAGGCCTATCAAGTCTCAATATGTTGAGGTTCCATTCCATTTTTCTTGAAAAATAAATATTCGTTAATCAAATCAAAGATAAGCGAATGAACAAGAACATGTTTGAAAATTAAAAAAAAAAAAAACCCAAGGCATTTTTTCGGAGATGCATCTCTGAAACTCCTCAGAGGGGTTTTCGGAGATGTATCTCTGAAAAACCTATGACTTCCATAACCAAAGCTTCAACCTAACATCATCATTTTTACACCAAAATCCAATATTTACACATAAAAGCAAGCTTTTTACAGATTATACATAATCTAAACAACTTAAAATAGAAATGCGAAGATTAAAAGGGATTGGAGAACTTACTCAGATTTGAAGCTTTTAGAGTTATTGAAATGTGTTGAAATTGAGAGTTGGAGTGAGTTGCAACAAGTGCAAATGAGTAGGCAAACTTGATTGAGTTTTGAAAGTAGATATTTTGGAGGTTTTTGGGGTGTTTGATAGTTAGAATTTGGAAGAAATGAGAATGAGGGGTGGTTGTTCGTATTTGTTACTGTAATACCCTAATTCTGAGATGTATCTCTGAAACACCCATGATTTTGAAAAAAAAGTGTTTCGGCAATACATCTCTGAAAATACTCCAGAAAAAATAAAATATGATGCGTTTAGAGATACATCTCTAAATTCAGAGGATAAAAATGAAATTTCGCCAGAGATGGCTAAGAAGGTGTAAGGGTGGGGAAAGAAATTCCTAAAAAAAATAGTTATAGGTTTTACATTAAATTGATAAATCCATTAAAAGAGTATTTAACCTATATACAAAAGTTTTATAAAAAAAACCATATACAAAAGCACAATCAAACACGAGTCTAGTTAAAAAATAAAAGAGACTGAGTTTTCTAACCAGAACCGCCTAATCGACATACCAAAACAAATATTAATTCTAATAAATCAATTCCAAATTGTCTCCTTTCCCAGCCTCAATATAATAAGTTGATATTTTTTTCTAACATGTTAATTACTCCTTCCGTTCTAAAATATAAGAGAAAAAAATGAATTTTTTTATCCTAAAATATAAGAGAAAAAACTCATCTTTTATTTCTTTTAAGGTAAAATTAAATGAAAATTGTATTTAATCTACGTTCTCTCTCATCATTTATATTAATTAGAATTGTTTTTACATCTTTTTAATCGTTTTATTTCAAGAAAATTATAATTCAAATGACTATGTTTTTATTTTTTTAATAAGTGTGATTTTTATTTTTTTTCTCTTATATTTTCGGCTGGAGAGAGTACTTTACTTGTTGTGTTACTATAATTATAATTATTAGATTTTTCTTTATTAGTAAGATAATAAAGTAGGTAATAGGTAATGATGCCTAACAAATTTATTTTGGATTTTATTTTCACTTAAAACAAGTTTATTGTTTGACTTTATATATTTTGTAATGTACTTTTCAGTTTTATGCAATTTTAACAACATAAATTTTTTTTCAATTTTTTTACTTCATCCATCCCATATTATTTATTGCAATTGATCATTTCACACAGATTAATAAATAATAGTAAATGAAAGAGAGAATATTGACTTTACCATAACTTCTGTTTTTCTTGGGACGAAGGGCGTATTATTTTTTGATTTCTATTCAATTCTTTTCTACTACTTTACCATAACTTCTATTTTTCTTACATAGTATCTAGAGCTTCATTCATCTTAACGAGTCTGTGATGAAAAAAACTAATAAGAAAACATTCACAAAACACCTTTAAACACCATAAATGGCTTCCAACAACATTCTTTACCTCCACCTCTTGTGTTTGTAGGAGAAAACTATCATTTATGGGCTGTAAAAAATGAAAGTTTATTTGAGATCTTAAAGTTTATGGGATGTTGTGGAAAATGAAAGCAACCCACCACTTCTTTCAAATAACCCAACAATAGCTCAAATAAAAAATTACAACGAGAAAGTGACAAAAGAAGGAAGCTCACTCGTCGTAATACATGCAACACTATATGATGATATATTTATCAAGATCTTAAATCTTAAGACTGCAAAAGAAGCTTGGGATAAGCTGAATAAGGAGCAATTGTCATAATACATGCAACACTACATGATGATATATTTAGCAAGATCTTGAATCTTGAGACTTTAAAAGAACCCTGAGACAAGCTGACCACCAGAAGATGACCTGATCAGAAGCTGATTCTTCAAAGTCTGGTATTCAAAATCTGCATTTTCTAGAGCTTCTCTTTATTTGTTAAGTGCAATATCATAACTGACTTTAAATCATAATATTAATCTTTGTTCCTGCACACTTGAACATATATTAGTATACCTGATTATTCTTTAAATGTTTTGTTATCATGAAAACCCAAGGGATATAATATAACCAATTTTATTCCAACAATCTCCCCCTTTTTGATGATGATAAACACAAGTATTTAAGAATAATGGTTGCTAATTTAATTAACAAGTTGACTTTAGGATCTAATTTTTGTAAGCTCTTCCTGAGTCTAATAGTCCTAAGAGTGAGGTTTGTAAGCTCCTCATAAGTCCTATCCAGGTTAATTAAATTCATCTTTAAAGCACAATAATAGATCTTCAGAGTTTAAGCAATAAACAATGTCAATCAAACTGATTGATCTATATGCTTAATAATTAATATCATACACCTCATTTTGTCATCTACAAAAAAAAATAGAAGTAAAGGAAAATAAGAAAAGAGGCTAAAGAAAAATAACCCATTAAACAAAAAGAGAGTCAGATTTGCAAGAAAGGCGTGATCAAAACAGTTGAAAAGACAAAATAAAATGGGTTGCTTAACTCCTAAGGCCTAGGGTTTTGCTTCAGATGCTCTAGGATGGATTTTAATTCAGAACCCATTACATCTTGTTTTGCAATCACATTTTTCAACTGATCATCCATCTCATCTTGCTTAGCAGCCATAGACTGTTGAATGGTTGCCACAAACTTTATCTTTTCTAACTTCTCATGCTTCTGACTGGAGGAAGCTACATGCTCATAAAAGAAGGCTTTCATATTGAGCAAGATAGTGTCAACAGAAGTTCTGAGAGAATCTCATTTAACTGCATGAACTATGGAATCAGAAGCAAAAAACCTTTCAGCCAAAAATTTTTGAACCATGTTAGAGTTAACAAACCTACATTCTTCCATTTGGAGTTGGAAAAGAGGTGGTAGGTGTCGTGGCGCAAAAAATACCCAAGCGTAAAGAACACTCAAAATACAATAGAGTCGCCATTTATTTGTTTCAAAAGAATGAGAAAATATCGATAAAACCCATGAAAGAAAAGAAATGATCGTTGTAACAAAGATAGGGTTTGGGAGTCGGTTATACAAGGGGAAGGTATTAACACCCCCCCACATCTGTTGTACTCAACGTGACCCATTTAGTTAGTTTTGAAAATGAGTGTTAGCGTGATGTCGTTTGCGATCTTCTACTTATTAAACGAGGAAAGAAAGAAAGAAAGAAATGGTTTTTGATTTTTTAGTTTATTGGGCTCGTCAAGATTTCAAAATCTCGTGCCTACGTATTCTCATGGTGCAATGAGAAAATCAGAGCTTTGTAGTTCGTGGTAGAAAACAACGTGTTGGTTGATTGCTTTTAAGGAGTGATGCTTTAGACATTTTGAGTGTTTAAACATTTGCTTGTTGCTCGCTCTTGGAAGCTGAAACCTTTATTTGTTTCGCATCAAAATGGCTAAAACACACTCATTTATGAAAAAAGGTTTTCAAATTCGTGCTTGGGCGAAAAAGAAATTTGATGAGTTGAGATTACTATTATGTGGGAGACAAGCATTAGACTACAAGCTAAGTACGCCTAGCAACTCAAGTACGCGGTAAGCTGAAAGGATAAGTACGTCCAGACTTCTCCTTTTTCATCCCAAATTTTTTTTAGGAAATTTGTGAGACAAGTTTAATCGTAAGTCCTTTGCGGGAGACAAACATATAACCACAAGCTAAGTACGACTAGCAATCAGAATACTTGGGAATCTGAAAGGATAATTACATCAATACCTCTCCTTTTCATCCCATAAGAATCGAATTAGACTCGTTTATTTTAAAGTGTTTTGCATGGAAGACAAACATCGGGGCCACAAGTTAAGTACGGCCAACAACCCAAATACTCGAGAATTAGAGAGACAAGTACGTCAAACCAACTCTTTTTTATTCGAAGTTTATTTTTAAAGGATTTTTGAAAAGATGTTTGTAACAAATTGACATTGAATTGAGCATTTTTTATTACGAAATGATTTGAATGATAGGAGAAAAATGGCACTTGATGTTTGATCAAACATTTAATGTTGGTTATGAGAAGAGTTTGAGTTAAGTGGAAGAGATACTTGACATTGGATCAAACACTTGTGTTGCATTCAATTGAATTTAATTTTGGAAAAAGACTCGACGTTGGATCAAACATATTTTTTGTTCATTTGAAAATTGGTTCATTTTACTCTTAAATTAACAATTTAACTAAGTTAATAAGAATAACATAAAGGAAAGTGATAAAAAAATATTACAGAACAAAGAAGAGAAATACATTTTTCCAAATGAAGAATAGTATTGATGAAATGATAAAAAGAGAACAAGCAAGAAATAAAGAGAAAAAAAACACTCAAGGTCTAACTAAAGACAAAAAGGTAATTATTTAAACTAATCAAATTAATTAAGGGAATTGATTAAATTAATAAAAGTTAATTAATAAAGGATTTAATTAATCAATCCAAATTAATTAAAATTAATTAAAATTAATTAAATAGATTAATAAACCAAAAATAATTAATTAACTAAACTAACTACAAAAGAAAAAGAAAAAGAAATAAAGAAAAGAACAAAATGGGCTACAACATAAATTATAAAGACAAAGGCCCATAGTTGGGCGTGTCTAAAAGCAAGAGGTAATTTACCTTTCCACCTTTATACATTTTCATGGGCCTAGCGCAAAATTCTTAAAATACCCTATGTTTTCGGAGATGCATATTCAAACGCACCAAATTTCATTTTTTTTTAATTATAATGAAGTTGCACAACCAAAGTCAATTAAAGGGTGTGTTTGGAGATGCATCACTGAACACACCTTTTTATAAATAGAAAAAACGAGTTCGAAGATGCATCTTCGAATTAGATGAACATATTTAAAGACTGTGTCAGACCTTCCCTCTTCTCCTTCTTCATTTTTCAGAAAAACAAAACTTTCTCTCTACCTCTCAATCCATTTCAAGTATACACTCAAGATCAAGTTTTGAAGTTACATTCACGTGGTTCTGACCATTCTCAACTCTTTCTACCTACTGCATTCAACATCAAAGCACTTTATACCCTCACCAACACATTTAAGAGTAAGTTTTTCATTTGGCTTATTTTGATTTTCAATTAATGTAGTAGCTCTAATGTACTATTTTTAATGCATTAGATAGCTTAAATAGGTTAGTGTACAAGTTTGGAGACTTTGTTTATATGATTTAGATGAGTTTGGTTGGGTTTGGATGAGCTAGGGCAGTTGTTGAAACGGTTCTGCCATTGAGAAGTCAAAGCTTTTATTCAGATATGTGTATCCGATCTGTTCTGTTTCAGCTTTTTGGATATGCATATCCGAACTCATTTCTTCCTCTTATTTTTGTTATGTTTTTTTTCTTCAGAACAATGGTCGAAAACCAACAAAGGTAAAGACTCGAGCGACCTAGCATTATTGTCTCTGCTTGTCGTGAGAAGGCTCTTCAGCACGAGCAGGATAGATCCCACCCTCATTCTCATGATAGGGAGGCGCCTGCCTCTGAGAGGAGTTGAATATCATGTGGATCGGGATCCTAGAGTGGTGTGCACCATGATAAGCATTCCCTAGTCGCACCTCAGGTCCCAATGGTTGGGGATGCCTCCCTTGCAGACTCGTTTCCAGGAGGGCCAACAGACACGTCTTTACTTATATACTTTTGAGAGCATGTGGCTCTGCATGTCTGAGAAGGAGAGGTATATTTCTGAACTGCCTCTATTTTTCATTTTGTATCCCAATTCAACTCAACTGATCATGTTTTATTTTAATTTAAACAGGAGCATGATTGTATGGAAAGTGTGAATCATGCAAGAAAGATTCACAATCTTTATCAGCCTGAGAAAGTTGAGTTCCAAAATGTACTCCAAAACTTCAGGCTTGCATGTCTTTGTGCTTTTGGGTACACGAACATCATTCATGGTGTGCATGCTGCATTTGCTGAGAGGTGGCATAATGAGACGTCAACTTTCCACCTCCCCATTGGTGAGATAACTATTACACTAGATGATGTAGCATAACTTCTACACCTATCCACGTCCTTGTTTTTGGAAAAAGTGAAAACTACGTGGATGTGGCCCACCTCAAATATTTTATCGACTTGGAGTCCATTGGTGAGTGGAATTGAGGGGTAGCATACTTGGTTTACTTGTGCCCCAACCCGAACAAAAGTTGCAAATGGACGATGAAGCATATGGAAGGCTCATGCACCCTGCTTATGATAATTTCTTATTCGTTTTCATGGATAGATCACTACTCACTATCACCGCATCCACGGGTTTAATCGTGACTCGTTCTATACTCATGATTGGCCATATGTTTTCCAGTTTGTCCCTAGCAGAGGGAATGCTCATATCTTGTTGTACCGTGTGTATATCAACCGGACTCAGCATGACGACGTAAGATGAAAGCCATATGGTGCTCACCGGGACAAAGTTCCACTCGACCCCATATCCTTATATTCTAGATGGTTGGCATGTGGGACCAATATCATGTGCAGGTATCTGCCCGAGCGGTGAATACATCAATTTGGGTATGTCCAGATTATTCTGAGGTTCCCCTTCCAGGCTTCTCCCATCACTATTGTCCGGAGAGACCTAGATGACATTCTGGAAGATTTTGAGAGTCGTATAACACCAATGGAGTATCAGAGTCAGGCAGTCACATCTGATTGGAGTTATGTTGATGGTTACATAACATGGTACTATAAGGTGCCAAATCCTTACATGACACAAAATGTTCTTGGACATCCACTTAGGCCTGTTCATGAGGAGATCTTAGAGAATGAGTAGACACAAGATGCTTATGATATTGATGTCTTGCCGATCTGTCAGACCATCATGTGGATTACAAGCGAGGGCATCAATTATGGACTCTTCGAGAGAGGTGGTGAGGAAGCGATTTAGCTAGCACATTCCATTCTTTTCGAGGCACGAAATGCATTGGGTTATCGTAGGCAGATGAGGAGCTAGGGTATTAGGATTAGGCATACAAAGTAGAGTATGCATTTGATTGTATTTTGTTTATTAAACATACAGAGTAGAGTATGCATTTGATTGTATTTTGTTTAATTTTAATCGATTTTGAGAATAATTGTTGTAGTATTGTATTCAATTTCTATAATAGTCCAATTTTATTAAAGCTTTACATGGTTCTATAATATTCGTTTTTATTAATTGTTGAAACAAATAACAACAATTTTAATCGAATTAGAATTAATTTCGATTGAAAACAACACAATCTTAGGAAATTGTTTCTGAAAAAAATCACACAGGCACAGATTCAGAGATGCATCTCCGAACGATTACCAGACATGGTTCGACGAAGCATCTCTGAACATATTTTCTTAAGAAATGCATGGGCTGTTTGATATTCTAAGGACGAAAGATGACTTCGGACATACATCTCCAAACTTACTTTAGGAGTGTGTTTGGAGACACTACGCCAAAAACTGCTTTTTGCAGCGCCTCTACTAAAGCGCTTATTGAAAAAGCGCTGCCATAGCCTTCACAAAAAACAAAATTAAAAAAAAGGGAAACCTACGAAGGCGCTTTTTTAAAAGCGCTGGCATAGGTGGGGGATACGAAAGCGCTTTTTACATTAAAAGCGCTGTGGTAGGTCAAATAAAAATATTAATAAAAACGAAATAATAGGGTTATGAAGGCGCTTTTTAAAAAGCGCTGTGGAAGATTGGCCTTTGAAAGCGCTTTCAAAAGCGTTGGCATAGGGTCTGATGCTACTAAAGCGCTTTTTAGGCTAAAAGCGCCGTGGTAGCTCAAATATCAAAATTAAATAAAATGAAATATTGAACAGCACAGTTCAGAATACCCACGAAACCCAAAACGAAATATCAGAACGAAGCCCTGTTCATCGTCTTCTCCATCTCACCCTCGCCGGCACGAAGCTTTTCAGCACCGTTCATCATCTCACCCTCGCCGACACGAACCTTATCAGCACCGTTCATCAACTCACCCTCGCCGGCACGAAGTTATTCTCGTTTTTGTTCTGATTCCTCATCCTCGCCGGCACGAAGCTTTTTTCGTCTAGAGTCGTATCAAAAGGTATGTTTCAAAATCCTTGCCATTCATACATTTATTAATCAAAGGAGAAAAATCTCTTCCAGATCTAGATTTATCAACTAAATCAATTAGAAAATGTTTCATCATCTGCACACCACCTTTGGTCAAAGGATTTTAAACACCTCAGGAAAAGAAAAGATCATAACAAGTGATCTTCATGTATCTATTTGTTTAGCTTGTATAGCACTAACAAGAGTTATTCGGAATTGCGAAAACCCTTTATGGGATGAACATTTTGTTGTTCTTGTTGCTAGTACAAGTCACAAGAAGGGTTAAGAGTTGTTATATTGATTTGGGATAATAGAACTTCACATGACAAGTTTCTTTTAAAAACAACTTTCCTAAAATTTCAAGTTTTATTTTACAACCTGCTTCATGGTTTATTAATGTGGACATGGTTGAATATTACAATTTTGTGTTCATGTATCAATGTACATAGCAATGATTGATGTTTTATATTACGGGATGGTGTTATTCTCTTTGATCTGAGTTTTGTGAAATTATTCTGAAGTGCAATGAAATTCAATTTGTGTTATACTCCATTTCTCAATACCTTTCACTTTCGTTTTTGATGTGGAACTCAACAACCAGTAGGCAATGTATTTCCCACCCTCTACAGGTAGAACATTACCTGCCTTCTGAAAAACTGTTTACCAATTTGTGTAAGATTGATAGACAAAAGGGTAAAGGATGGGATTGATTGTCGGTGGTGTCATGTGGAATCGAAGACAGCAGAGCACGTGCTGCTGCTAAATAGGAACATTTGTAGAGAAATTTTTTCATATTAATGCACTGTCAAAGTAGGAAAAGAGCATTCAGACTGCTGCTAAATAGGAACATTGGATAGAAAATCTGTAACATATTAAATGCAATTAACTTTGAATCTTATATTCCCATTGGATCAATGATTTCCATTCGATAGCATTAGTAACCATGAAACAACTGAGTATCATGCATTGCCATACCTTTTATTGTAGGTTCTTTGGCGACGGTAGTCCATATCTTCTGGTCCAAACTGTATCATGGATTGCCATACCTCTTATGGCCATTTTCTTGCCTCCAATGTATACACATTCAACTTGTTGGCCATATACGCATGAATATGATTAGCCGGTGCAAGTGTTGGAGTGTACTATTACAATTCATATGGCATTTGTTTGATTGTTTTTACTGCTTTCTTTAACAAGTTAACATCTGACACCTTTGGATATTATGATATCATTTGAATTAGTGTTCCTGTCAACACAACTAGTTGCTCTTATGTAACATTTGAATTAGTGTGAATTTCTAATGATTATAGTTGAGTGGAATTCATGAGCTGCGGTTGTGTTTTTGTTTATATTTAGACTGTTATGGCAGTATAGGGCTGTATATGGCAGTATGGCAGTATTGATAGCATTGAAACGAGCACGTTTCAGGGATTCATCAAACATCAATGAAAATCTTAAACACAATGAACCATGCAACACATTAGTTAGCGTGTAGATGTTAGAATTTAGGACTATAGGACTATACCAAAAATATCTGACGGGATTTTTCCGTTGCTAAATCTTTCGGTTGCTTCTCCTCCGATGAAATCTTTACCGTAAGGTTTGAAATCCGACTTCACTATTGTTTGAATATAATTGTTATTACCTGTATCCAAGACTGAATCACTAGTATCCGACTTCACTAGTTAGTAATTAGTTATGAGTTGTTTAGCACATGCTTAAGGTGAGGCAAGAATAACTATGAATTTGATTACCTGATATGTTGAATTTCTTTACAGGTAATTAATTATTATTTTGCTATAGTTGCGTGACTAATTAGTTGCTATAGTCAAACCATGGATAAAAAATGGATGACTGCCAATCGATTGTCGAAAGAGTATGAGGATGGGGTATCAGAATTCGTTAAGTTTGCCGTTGCGCACGCCAGAGAACCCAATGGAATGATATGTCCTTGCTTGAGATGCTGTTATGGGAGACGGGTTGACGCGGTTCAGTTGGAATCGCATTTACTGATGCATGGAATTGATAGAAGTTATGCATGTTGGAATTTGCATGGTGAGAAAAGTAGCGGGAATGTTGAATCGAGTTATAATACGACGTATGCTTCAAATGAGGATTTCGCAGACGCATACGATTATGATCGAGTCGAAGAGATTGCAGAAGCGCTTGAAGAAGATCTTGAGGATTGTCCCAAAATGTTCGAGAGGTTGGTAAGCGATGCAGAGAAACCGTTGTATGATGGTTGTACAAAATTCACAAGATTGTCTGCGGTGTTAAAGTTGTGCAACTTAAAGGCGGACAACGGATGGTCGGATAAAAGTTTCACACAGTTATTAGCCCTCGCGAAAGAAATGCTACCAGAGGATAATGTTCTTCCCAATCGAACGTATGAGGCCAAAAAGATGTTGTCCTCTATTGGCATGAGCTATGAAAAGATACATGCATGTCCAAAAGATTGCGTTTTATTTCGAAACGAGTACGCAGTGTTAAATGAGTGTCCTAAATGCGGTGCCCCTCGATATAAGGAAAAGTTGTCTCTGGAAAAGGTGTTATGGTATTTTCCTATAATTCCGAGATTTAGGCGCATGTATCGTAGTGAGACCGATTCAAGACACTTGACTTGGCATGCAGATGAAAGAATTATTGATGGGAAGTTGCGACATCCGGCAGACTCACCACAGTGGACGAAAGTTGATATTGATTATCCTGAATTTGGAAAAGAAGCAAGAAATCTTCGCTTGTCGTTGTCTACTGATGGAATGAACCCGCATGGTATTCAAAGTATCTCGCATAGCACCTGGCCTGTGATTCTTATGATATATAACCTACCTCCGTGGCTATGTATGAAGCGTAAGTACATGATGCTATCTATGTTAATTTCTGGGCCCAAACAACCAGGGAATGACATAGACGTGTACTTGGCACCCTTAGTCGAAGATTTGAAGTTTTTGTGGGAGACCGGTGTGGAGGTTTACGATGGGTATAGGAAAGAAAGTTTCAACTTGAGGGCGATGTTGTCTGGAACAATTAATGATTTTCCGGCGTACGGAAATCTATCAGAGTACAGCATTAAGGGTCAAAAAGCGTGTCCTGTTTGTGAAGATGAAACCGATACGATGCGATTGAACTTTTGTCAGAAGAATGTTTTTCTCGGTCATCGTAGATTCTTAAATTCTAATCATCACTATCGTGGGTGGAGAAAGGCATTCAATGGAGAGGCAGAACACGGTAGAGCTCCACATATGTTGACAGGTGATCAGATTTTTGAAAAGGTGAAAGATGTGAGTACTGAGTTTGGCAAGCCTTTTGCACATAGACTTGTCACGAGTGGGTGGAAGAAGAGGTCGATTTTTTTTGAACTTCCATATTGGAAGTCGTTGTACGTAAGACATTTCCTCTATGTTATGCATATTGAAAAAAATGTATTTGATAGTGTTATTGGTACGTTACTCAATATACAAGGAAAGTCTAAGGATGGCATTAACATAAGGAAGGACATGTTAAACATGGGAATTAGAACTGAATTGGCACCCGTGACGAAAGGAAGACGCACATATCTACCACCTGTTGTTTACACTCTATCTAGAAAGGAGAAGAAAATATTGTGTAAGTTCCTCAGTGAAGTTAAAGTTCCAGAAGGCTACTCATCAGATATTAGAAGACTTGTGTCAATGAAAGACCTAAAGTTAAAGAGTTTAAAGACTCATGATTGCCATGTTATAATGGAACATTTTCTACCAATAGGTATATGTTCTATTCTGCCAGAAAAAGTAAGGAGCGCAATAACTAAGTTGTGTTTTTTCTTCAAGTCAATTTGCAGCAAGGTGATCGATCCTGCGATCTTACCAACATTGTAAAAAGAGGTGGTTGTTACTTTATGTGAGCTTGAAATGTATTTTCCTCCCTCGTTTTTTGACATAATGGTTCATCTAGTCGTTCATCTTGTCAAAGAGACACAGTTGTGCGGACCAGCTTATATGAGATGGATGTACCCTGCTGAACGTTATATGAAAATTTTAAAAGGGTACGTGAAAAACCGAAGTCGACCGGAGGGTTGTATTGCGGAACGATACATTGTTGAAGAAGCGGTTGAGTTTTGCACTGAATATCTGTCAAATGTTCAATCAATTGGACTCCCCAAATCTCATATTGTCGAGAAAAAAGAAGGAAAAAGACTAATTGGAAATAAAGTTGTGACAGTGTCAATGGTCGAACGGGATCAGGTGCATTTGTATGTTCTGCACAATGAGATTGAGGTTGAGCCGTATGTTGAAATGCACAAGGGTGTTCTTCGAGGTTTAAATCTGAATAGAAATGAGAATTGGATAGTACGAGAGCACAATCGAAGTTTCATACCGTGGTTTAAGGAACAAATTTATTCAAAGTATCGTTCGGATCCTGCTTCAGTAACAGAAAGGTTGAGATGTTTAGCATATGGTCCAAGTATGATTGTGTTTTCTTATAGCGCATATGCAATTAATGGATACACATTTTATACCAAAGAACAGGATGATAAAAGTACTATGCAGAATAGTGGTGTTACCTTGGTAGCTGAAGCGATGCACATATCAAGTGCGAATGACTTAAACCCGAAATTTGCAAATCTGTCATATTTTGGGGTTATCGAGCGCATTTTGTTGTTTGATTACGGGAAGTTTCAGATTCCTGTATTTGATTGCAAGTGGGTTGAAAATAATAATGGCGTACGAATGGATAAGTCAGGATTTTTGCAAGTGGATCTCAATAGGGTGGGGTACAAAGATGAACCTTTTATTCTAGCCTCTCAGGCTAAACAAGTGTTCTATGTCAATGATCCGACAAGTACGAAATGGTCTATAGTGCTTTTGTCTAACAAAGTAATTGATGAAAACATTGGAGATCAAGGTGATATTGGCGTTGGCATTGAATCTTGTACAAGAAACAATCAAAATGAGAATGAACCTTGTACTAGAGATGATCATAATGAGGGTATTTGGATCAATCCAACCATTCGAGTTGTTAATAGAAGCGTAAAATATATTGCTACCAAGAAAAGAAAGAGACGTTAGTGAAAAAGGTATTATTATAATTATAGCCTAATATTGTAAGTAATATGTGAATAATGTTTTGAATTTTTGGCATATCTTTTGAACCGTTTTGAATTTTTGCGAATGTGACTAGTGTTTATTTAGTAGAACAATGTTTCCGGAGCTGATGGTGAGGTTTATTTCTTGCAAGTTTGGTTTTTTAGCATTTTATTCAATTTTGAGTTCCTTTAGTGTTATTCATATCTTTTTCGACTATCCATTTTCATGTAGTGTACTAATGTGCTTGTTTGACTTTTGTTACAGGTCTAATGGCTAGCAATGAAGAAAACCCGCAAGGAAACCAACAAGAAAACCCACCAGGAAACCAACAAGATCATGAAAACTCACAAGAATCAAATCATGCAGCGGATGATACTTCAGCAAATGATGTTGCACGAGGCATCACCATAATGCGCGAAATCATTCGTGCTAGAGATAAGGGAGTGATATATAATATAGATTGGAATCATTCAAATCAAGTAGTTGGGGTTAATGCTTCAAAATTCACAAGCTACGTTGGTACACTTGTTCGTATGCATGTGCCAATCTCCATATCTAGATGGAATGAGAAACAATGTGAAGCATTGAAGCAAGGAAAAGAAATGTTTTGGGAAGATGTTAAGGTATGTATGTTATATGGTTTATATGGTTATATGTTTATAAGTTTATAAGTTTATATGGTGTATATGGTTTTTAAACTACTTATATGTTTATATGGTTTATATGGTTTTTAAATTACTTATATGTTTATATGGTTTATACGCAGCGGTCTTTTAACGTTCCAGATGAGCGTAAAGGCTTCGTACTTGGGTTGGCCGGGAAAAGATTTAGAGGGTGGAAAAATCTGTTGACGAACACCTATCTTAAGGATGACAAAGGAAAGTGGCTGGAAGAGTTCCCGGCCGGAAGGCCAAAAAAGTATAATCTTTTCATTAAACAAGAAGATTGGACTGAGTTTATTAGACAAAGAGATGACGAATTCCGACAAAAGAGTGCCAAAAATAGTGAGAGAGCATCAAAGCCCGCGTATCCATACAAAAAAGGGCGTTTGGGATATGCACGCTTAGAGGAAAAAATTGTAAGTAATAAATAGAAATGATATGTTCTTATTAATTGTCTAAATGTGTTGTATTTGACGATCTAACCATTTGTTTCTATGCATAGTTAGAGGAGACGAAAAGTGATGAAACCTCACTTCCAGCACATTTGCTGTGGAAGGAAGCTCGTGTGGGCAAGAATCAAGCTGTTGATCCAAGTGTTCTAAGAATTTATGATGAATGCGTAAGTATAACATTGTGTCTTTAATTAAATCAAATTTTTATGACTATTTAATTGATTTTTTTATCTCCATTATTTTCAGGAGACATTGTCACAAACGGAGTCCACCGGTGACGACCAGGATACGAGGAGCGTACTTAGTAAAGCACTGAATGTTCCTGAGTATTCCGGTCGGGTGAGGGGTAAAGGTCATGGTGTGACTCCAACCTCTTTCTACCAGCATCCTCGGAAAAGAAATCCTACCAATGCAGAAGTGATGAATGTACTTATGGAATTACAAGCAAAAGTCAATGCATTGGAAAGAGATAAAGAGGTATTAATGAGGGAAAAGGGCAATGCGGCAATGGCGAAAGAAACTAGTGACAACGCTAGTATCAACCGTCAGAATAAATTTCCTGAGGTAATTATAAATATATTGATAAATCTCTATTGTTCAAGTTTCTCATTTTTATTCCACCTCTTTCTATTATTGAATTAAAAGTAATATGTATGCATATTGGTTTAGGGCATTTCATCTTGCCAACTATACGTAATGGCATCAGATTATCACCTTGTTGGCAAGGGAAAAGTGTACAACACTTTGGGAGATTTAATTCATAATACACCGATCCCGGCTGGACACCTGAGAGTATCAGTAGATTATCCTATTGATCCCGATGCGTTGGTACCGGTACCTGACGTGGCCTTGGATATAAGATCGGTGCGAGACGCAGTAGGGTCGTTTGTTGCATGGCCCTTGGACCTCATTTTCATTGATGATGAGGTATGTTTAAAACCGTTAATATGAATCATTTAGATTTCAAATGTCAATTCTGAACCGTTAAGTTAATTATTTTTTAATATTAGCCTCCTACAAAACCCGCTAATAAGGGTAAGGAGATTTTGCAGCAAGGCGGCGAGTCTATGGCATCAATTCCAGAGGTACATTTAAATTGTTTATTATATGATATGAATTTAAAACTGAACGATTTTATAATTTACCTAAGTTATATGATTGTTAGGTATCTACGAAAGTGTCACAACAAGTGACCCAGCCTGTTCGTAGCAGACCACCCCCGAAAAAGTCAATGCATAAGGGGGGAAGAGGCGGGGGAAGAGGCGTTTTTGTACCTCGATATCGGAATACACTTGGAGTACTTTTGGAAACCTCAGATTTGAAGTCAGGTGGTATTCGTCGAATCCTTATGGATGCAGATATCTTTGGTCTTGACTGCCAAGAAACGATAGGAATGGACGAAATGACTGAGATTATGACGCATGGTGAATTAGGCATCGGCAATGTTCACGCATACATCAGGTATTCCGATAAATATATCATTTAATTAGTTGAACAATTTATTTACACATTTCAATGAAAATAGTCTAATGTTTATATGTTTTTATTTAAGGTTGTTGTACGATAAAAAAATGCGCGAGACTGTATTGGCAAGACGCTTCCATTTCTTGTCTGCCCATATTGTCAGCGGAGCGACAATTGTCAGGGAACCGGGTTCAGTTAGGGAGTACTTAGTGAATCGATACACGGCCTACGTCGGCAACCCAAATAGCTTGTTTATTTTGCCGTATAACACTGTTCCAGTGGGGTGAGTTTTTCATTTATTCTAATATATCTTTGTTTATTTTGCGTAGAAACTTTTCTTCTAAACTGTTGCTTAAATTTTTAGAAAACACTGGTTGTTGTTGGCTATCGATCCGATTAAAGAAGTTGTGTACTTTCTGAATTCGGTAGACGGGGAATGGACTAACTATCCCGCTATGAAGGAAACTGTTGATCAGTAAGTGAGATCGTTCTAACTATTCGTGTATATTTATATATTTAATTATTTCTGTGAGATTGATCTAAATATATGTTTTTATTTTCTTAGATCAATACAAATATTTCGTAGTCAAAGGGACGCACAGGTACCCCGGAGTAAATCATCAAATATTACTTGGATCAAAGTGCAGGTACAAAATTAGTTGCTTATAATAATAGTTATGTTACTTGATAAAATTACACGACAACTATAAAATATATTCTGTTTTTCTATGCAGTGTCCGTTACAGAATAACGATGTAGATTGCGGATACTTTTGCTTGAGGTTTATGAAAGAAATCCTTCATAAAAATCAAGTAGAGATTCCAAGCACGGTATGGATTTATAACTTAGAATAATTTTGTATGATTTCTACATTTAATAACATCATGCATATACTGAAGTAATAATTTCTTATGTAGTACTTTGATGACCTCTATACTATGTCGTACACGAAAGTTCAAGTGGAAGAAGTCAAAGAGGAAATATGTCAATTTTATGTTGAAAACAGATTATTCTGATGGGTATGAATAAAATATTATTGTACGTGTTAGTTTGATTGTGTTGGAGCCTTTAATATTGTTTGTTTAATTTACCGTGTTGTTCATATTCATACTTTGCAGGATGACGACCGTGTCGGTGGAGCATTATTTTCGATGTAATTATATATGATTTAGTTACATATGTATATATATATGGTTACAAATTAACACGATACTTTGTATGTGATTTAGTTATGGTTACAAATGTATATATGGTTACAAATTTAGTTATATATGATTTAGTTACATATATATAGATAAGGATTGAATATTATATGGTATACCGGTTTCTGTTAATATAATACCGATTTCTTAAAATATATGTATAGATAAGGATTGAATTACAGGTTAAATTATTGGACCAAAAAAAAATTACAGGCCGCACAGGGAACCTCAAATTATAGGTTTCACTTTAAAAAATTTGTATGAGCTACGAAAGCGCTTTTGGCTAAAAAGCGCTTTCGTAGGCAGGATAAAAAAAAAAAATTAAATAGAAACCCCCTATCAAAGCGCTTTTTATGGAAAAAGCGCTGTGAAAGACCCCCCTATCAAAGCGCTTTTTCCATAAAAAGCGCTGTAAAAGCCATGATAAATAAAAAAACAAAAATTAAATAGAACCCCTATCAAAGCGCTTTTTATGGAAAAAGCGCTGGGAAATACCCCCCTATCAAAGCGCTTTTTCCATAAAAAGCGCTGTAAAAGGCCTGATAAATAAAAAAAAAATTTAAATAGCACACCTATCAAAGCGCTTTTCAAAAAGCGCTGGGAAAGACCCCCCTATCAAAGCGCTTTTAAGGAAAAAGCGCTGGGATAGGTCCACCTACGACAACGCTTTTGGCCAGAAAAAAGCGCTTTCGTAGCCTACGCCAGCGCTGGCTACGGCAGCGCTTTTAAGCGCTTTTAAAGGGAAAAAAAAAGCGCTGTGAAAGCCCATTTTCGTAGTAGTGAGATGCAAGACCTGACTAAATTTTATTAAATAATGATATTTGATGCGTTCAAAAATACATCTCCAAATTTATCCAAGATTATTTTTGAATTTTCAAAAACGTGTCTCATATAACAAAAGGTGAAAATAGAAATTATCAAGTAAGAACAAGGGGTGAGAAGAGCAGAACGTTGGCCCAATAGGTTCAATGGACCCAGTTTTAGAGTCCATATGCCAGACTAAAAATAGCCATGAGATGGCTATACCCAACGAGGTCAAAAAATATCAACGTGATGAGAACGCATGACCAAGAAGCTTATCGTGGGTCGCACTCACTAGATGGAATGGTCATGGGATCTGCATGACAACCACTTGTCATGCCTTAGAGGCTAATGGTGGGAGAATAAAAGTTCAAAACGGAGATAAAGTTGAGTATGGATTTCCTCTAGTTAAGATATCTTCCATTTATTCCAGTTTTTTATTAATAGATGACACGTGGTTAAATTATAATTTAATGGTTAGGATTTAAAACATAGACATCAACATTTTTTAATTAAAAATTAAAAGAAAAACACGATTAAACTTCTCCTCCTAAAAAGTTCCGCTCCCCTCTCTTGCTTCGCTGCCGTCTAACAAATTCCCATTCAACACCATCTTATTCTGTTTTATGATTAGCAATCAAACAAGAATGCTGTTCTACTCCGCTGCAACGTCGCCTTTAAGCTTCTAAAAAAACAAGATTTTGCAATTTTCCAGCAATAATCTCCAATTTCATGCAACGAGTAAATAATCTTCAATCTTAAAAAAAAATCAGAAATCGTTTCCCTGCAACAATGAATTTTGGCAACAGTAGTAGCAACTCAACAAGGAAGAAACATAGAAAGACAACAACGGTGATTCAAAGCAACAACGACCATGATTTATCGTGGTCCGGTGAATATTAAGTTTTAAGATTACTGGGTTTCTTGGACGAGAGAACTTGGGGAAGATTACTCTTTCTGTTTTAAACAAAAAGTATTTAAAACAAACACGCAAGCCACCATCAAATAGATGCAAATAACACAGTTCAGATTCCAATCCACACTAACAAAGAAACAAAACAAGCGAAGTCCTCAAAGGGATTAAGCAAACACAACAAGTAAGTGGAAAAGGAAATACGAAAGAGTTTAAATCTTACGGTCCTGGATTTTATCTCTTTGCTATTTTAGAAGTTTTTTTAATAAGAAATTTGTATCTAATAAGAATCGAACTTGACCTTGAAAGAAGCACACTTTCAAAGCTCAAGCGCTTCACCACTATGTCATACACACACTACTATTTTGTTAAATAAACATACAAAATAGGATTGATAATCATTTTCTCCATTATCATATGGGTCGAATCTCAAAAATAATTATGTAAAAAAAAAAACAAATGTCATCCCTGTGATTTGTAGATTCCCTTGTTTTAGTATTTTAGTGGATTTGGTCATTTAAAATGTTGATGTGGAAATGATATGTTGGCATATTTAGGTTTAAAAAATTAGTTTTGTTATCCTTCTAAATATTTTATGATTTTTTTTTGCCCTCCTTTAGATTTGAGTAGTTGTCAATAGGGATGGTAAACGAGCATGCCTATCCCGTTTAGGCTCGTCATGCAAAAGTCCACAAAAAATGAGACGGGACGGGACGAGCATAGTTGAGGATGAGGGTTTAAAATCTACGTCTGTCCCGTAAAAAAGTGAGAACGGAACGGAGAAGACCCACAAACACTGCACCTTTTAAGTTTAAAAATATAAAATTTTATGCTAATAATCATGTCCGTAAAAGTTCACAAGGAAAACAGAGCGGGACAAGACGGTCACATTAGAGGATGAGTGGCTAAATTCTTGGTCCGCCCACACTAAATTGCGGATAAAACAGATATATTCAACGGACCGGACGTGTTTTACCACCCCTAATTGACACCTTCTTTAGTGACCGCATCTATGTAACGCCACATCATATAATTTTGACATGTCATATATTAAAATATAAAAAAATTAATTTTATAATATTATTTAAGTCTAATATATATAATTATACTTTTAAATTTTTTTAAAAATTCTAATTATTTTCAGAACAATTAAATTATAGAAATTCTAAGTATCTAACTATTTTAAATTAACAACAATTTAATTATTTTAAGTAATTAAGTAATTATAGAAATTTTTAGAAATGATGATACCAACCATTTGAGCTACGAATTCCAGTTGCAATTTTTCCATAGTGTTGTATTTATTACATAGGTTTTATAGCAGCATAAATATATAAGCTACGAATCCCTTACACTGTTTTATTTAATACATAGTTTTTAAAAATTAATTTATAAAAAGTTAGAATTTTATGATTTTATGTCATAGAGTTTATTTTTTTAAAATATAATAACATATATTATAATTAAATAATATTATAAAATTAATTTTTTATTTTTTAATATATAACATGGTAAAATTATATGATGTAGTGCCATATAAAGATTATCAAATCAATGCCACGTTACAAAAGAATGTGCCAACTACTTAAATCTAAAGGTGATAAAAAAAAGTCATAAAATATTGAGAGACTAAAAAACTGATTTTTTTTTAAAAAGAGAACTAAAGAAATTATAAGAATAAAAATAAATGAATTAAAATTGTATTTAAAGCCAAAATTGTTTTTGACTTTTTCAAAAGTCAAACTAAATAAAAACATTAAAAGAAGAAACTGCTGCAAAACATTACGAAGTGTGACACAGTTCTTGGATAAAGTCGTTTGTTAAAGTTACATTTGCATATTTCAAATTCAAATGGAACTTGATGATTAAGAGAACACAAGGGACCCAATGTAACTCAAGAATTAATATTTTCCCGCATTCCATTAAATATGAAATCACGATATTAACAAATGGTAGCTTGAAGCATAATTTAGCAGCAGCTCATACATAAGATTGAAGGGTCGCAGAAACACCCATCTAAGACGCAACAACAACATAGAGCTGTAATACTGAAACAGAAAATAAATAAAAAAGTTAGAAATGTTAACAAGAACATGAACAAATTACAAAACGGAAACTTTTTGGTTCTTGAGATTTTTAGACTGACCAGCACTCAAAGAATGCAGTACTCTGACTTTTGGGTGGTGGAAGATCATATTGAGGTGGTGCCATTGCCGGGGGACCTTCATTATATCCTGGCAACAATAAACGTTCCCACAAATTTAGAGCATGATTTATCTAACTTGTGTTTATGAAGAGAAGAAACATAAACAAGTTACCTTTAGCAGAGTTGGGATCCGCATTCTTAGTGTCACTCATTTCTGAAAAATTGGGATGCTGAAAGCACAATATGATATGATACACGATTTCTATCTTTTATTTGCAAAATATGCAGTAAGGAGAAAGGACTTGGTTTTTGGCAACTATATGTGCACTAGAATAAAGACTTCACATTGAACAATAATTAATAACTTAATAAGAGCCAACCACCAGTACCATCGATATTGATAGTGTCGCTGTCTTTTCCAGTTAGCCATAATGTTTTCTTCAATCTTTACTTCTTCTACGCGTCAAAGGACACTCATTCAAGCATAATTTTGAAACTTCAATCTTATCCAAAGTCTCATTCTTCGGCCTCACAAATATGACTAGGTTTTCATCTTGTTACAATTTGATTCTATAGAACGGAATGAAATGAAATTGTTAGACTGTGTGGTTCTAGCTTCATCTGTAAGCAATTAAGCTTGTGGACTATATCAAATCCTTCTTCCCTAAATATGCTATGCACATGTACCAGCCTACAATCTTTGACTTCTTCCAAGCATTACAATCTTTGACTTCTTCCAAGCATTACACCTCCTATAAATATGGCAGTAGCATGAATGGCTAGGAGGAGAAATACACACAATTATGACGATAACACATACTGTCACAGACGGACTCAAAATTAAAATAGAATTAAAAAAATATATATATATATATATATATATATATATATATATATATATATATATATATATATATATATATATATATATATATATATATATATATATATATATATATATATATATATATATATTGTTTCTTAAACATTTTGAAGTTATTAAACTTTTTATCCTTAAAACAATTGTGAAAATCTTAAAGTGCACCTAATTGAGATAGTAGTATATTTCTATATTGATATTTTGGAAGGCATATATGATCTTTTTGGCTTTTTGGCTTTTTGGCATACAAGTGTTTGGTAAATAAGCGATAATCTTTCAAAATTTAATACTTTTGGTTATTTGTTGGATCGATTAGACTGATCTTAAGATAATGTGTAGTTTTTGTTTAAGTTTTCTAGATATTAATCTCTTCGAAAGTAAAGGTGAATTTGAAGATAGTAATAAGATGATTTATAAAAATGATAGGAAGATAAAGAAGTTTTGATTTGGAATTTAAAAGGAACGTAAACGACTTTAATGAAAATAAACGGACATTGAAAGTAAATATGGTACTCCGTATGTATATTTCTCAGAAATTCGTTTCTCGATAACACTTTGATACTTGGAGTAAATATGAGTAATTTATAGAATATCGAACACACATAATCATAACACTAAAGACTCTTACTTATACTAATTTGACACTAACGATAATTAACGGTCTTCTCTTCAAAAGATGATACGTTTTCACTTGCATGTGTTCTACCATTCGCATGTCTTCACGCGTCTCTTTTCAAAAGAATGGATAAGGCCAAAATTAAGTTATCAGTCTCATTTCAAATATCCCTGTCGAACTTACTTCGAAACGTCTTTAAAAAATGCTAAGTCACAACATTGTATCATTTCGCCAACGTGAACCATTTTGCCAAGACTTCAGTCAAAATGTCATCCATTATTCTCGTCGAAAACAAACTTTAACTATCTTCAATACTCTTTTAAAATTTCCTTCAAACTCATTACTTAAACTTTGAGCGTCGAATTTCCAACTAACAAATTGGCCCCCAAAAATATCTTTTTCAATTATGACGAGAAAAAGGACATTTTCTAAAGCTTTCGACGCGATAGTAATTACTCTTGTGACGTCATGATCATGATGATCACTTTTTCATAAATATCTCATCGAGACGTGCATTGCTTCCAAAAAATCATTACCCCCTAGTGAATAGGAGCATGGAGGTAACTTGTATAGGAAACCACTTGTACATCCTCTTAGAAAGTTACACATGCCTCACTACTTCTTCATTTATTTTTCAGAATGAACACGAAACAACTTCTTCCTCTCCTTGTAAATATTGTACTCTTCCATTTTCAACACTTTTTCCATTTCTGAACTCTCAAACTTGCGCATTTTTGATACTTCTTCTTCAAAAATCTTTATAAATCCTTCATCTTCCAAGCTCCAATCTTTAACAATGGTGCCCAGAACCAACAAAGCATCCAAACAACAGAAAGGAGCTCCAATCCCAATCACTCAGATAGCAAAATCGATGTTGGTAGGAAATCAGGAGTATGTTCCTGAGCCTCCTCTACTCGAAGAGAAACGCAAAATTTATCAATCTAAAGTACTCATTCCTCTAACCATTTCTAGTGAAACACACGCATATATGGGTAATTTTCCCGACCCTAATGCAGATGCAAAATTCAAAGAATTTTACCTGTTTATCATCGCACAAAACCCTTGGCTAGTAGGAAAAAAACGTATGATAAAGGTAACACTAAACCTGATATCCAAAAACTTGTAGATGATCAAGCGAAGTCTTTGATTGATGCTTCGAAAACATAAGACAACATTAATCTAGACTATATGAGAAACACTCTTAGAGTGTTTTTCTCTTTCCCCTTGATGAAAGATCTTGAACCATATCTCTCCTGGCTTGCTAAGGTTGAGAATAAGAAAATCCAATTTTTGAAAGAAATGGAGATTTATGATATGGTTCACTTGTCAAAATATGGTCTAGGTTATATCCAAAGTATGTTAGTGACTTCGTTATACTTATGAGACTCTTTTCATAATACCTTCCATTTCCCTTGCGGAATGATGACCCCCACTCTTTTCGACATTTCCGCTATCACTGGTCTTCGACCTACTAGAGAGACTTTTGATCCATTCGAAATGGACGAAGATACTATTAACTTCGCAGGCAACAAAGCTACTTTCACCCATTATATAACTGATCATCATGACAAAACAACTGAGGAGGTCTCTGACGAATAACATATTTCCTTTTTGGTGTTATGGTTATCATGTTGTGTCTGCTGCTCGAGTTCTCTTCAAGTAGCGAAAATATTTCTCAGCATGAAGAACCAACTACATGTTAGGCACAAGTTATGTCTAAGCCAAATTATCATGTGTTTCCTATATGAGTCTTTAGGAGAATCTGTCGAAAAATCCTAAAGACTTATCAGCTAGGAAAAAACATTTTGTTTGCTAGCTCATTTTGGTTACTCTAATTGTGGTTGAACGCTACGTTTGAGCCTTCACTTTCAACATGCAACATCATCAATGAAGAGAATGAGAAAATAAAGAATAAGAGGGCCGAAGGGACAAGATTGGTCTATTTAACACCAAACGACAAAGGGAAAATCCTACAAGATTTCTTCATTGGATTTGTGATGATGTTCGCCAAGCGATACAACTTTACTTCTTCGATGGCCCCTTTTGCCCAAAGAGTGCATGGTCCTAAATGGTTCACATGTGAATTCCCTACTCTTTCGACAGATCAAGAAGCATAATATGTGGCAATATGGGAGTCATTTCTCACCCCTAGGTTGCTTTCAACTAGGTTGAGACCTTCTAAGAATCAAATTATTTTGGTTAGTTATCAACCTAATCTAGTTTCTCGATAATTTGGCCTCATCCAAACAATGCCTAAGCCACTTTATGACAATAAGTGTTCTCCTTACCTCCATATCATGTGGTTCCCTGAGGAGGATTGTAACAAACATCTTTCTCGATATGCCAATATTACCACCCTTACTCCCTTTCCTTTTCGACCACCAACCCTTTGCACACAAGAATGCAACACCTGGTGGAGGGACTACTACACCAAATAAATCCTGGATGTAGCTGACTTCACTCATCATCTAACTTATGCTTTTTCTTTCATACAAGAACAATTTCAAGAAAGGTACAATAACTCATATCAAAGAAATTAAAGCTTTTCAAAAATACTTTGAAATTATATACAAACCTGATGATCTTAGTTGAACCATTCGGGAAGCAACCTTTATTTTAAAATATAAGTTCACAAAGAAACTCCCCACTTTAAAAATCCCTTCATGCGTCAAGCCCAAAAATAGGTACGAGTTAGCTTTTAAACTCCAACCACCAAAATTTCCACCATTGTCAAACGCTGATTTTGGCTTAGCATTTGGACCTCCATTCCTTGAATGGTTCGTCTATGGGTCTCATCTAAAACTTCTCAAACAGGATTCCAAGAAACTAGTCGAACGAGTGGTTCTGACTAAGCATTCTCTGGATAGTTTCAAAGGCCACCTTCATATCGACATAGAGCATGTTCAAATATTCTCTCCATCATGTGAAGGTGTGGAATGGAAGATTCCTTCAATTTATTCTTCGAAACTCTTTACATGTTTTCTTAACCTTAACTATTTGGTTCTCCTACTTTATTTTAGTCGTTGATCGAAAAAAAAAGTATAAAACATAAGGTTGCAGTTGTGGCTGTAAAGAAAGTTATTATTGCTGCTTCAGCCAAAGGTGATAGTCAAGGCGAATAGACTATTTTGACGAAGGCGACAGTAAAGGTATTTTCCCAATACTTTTAATACTTTATCATTTGTATGCATCAATTATATTTTCCTAATCATTTTCGTTATTTTAAGACCACTCAAAAACCTCCTCCAACTATGAAGAAACGAAAGCAAATCCAACCTCAACCAATAACTATTGAATCAGATTCTGAAGATTTATCACCAGATACTTTAAAACCTGCAAAAAAGAAGAAGTCAAAAACTTCTGACTCCGCTCCCGAACAGAAAATGGATACTACGTCCAAGCCAAGGAAGTATGATGTTCACCGAGCATTAAATGTTGATCCCAAATTGACCCAAGCCATCTCTGAACCAGCGGAAAGTGATAGTTCCAACACTGGGGATGAATGACTCAATGTATTTCAACTTCACTTTAGTTTTCTTTCGTCACACCTTTTATTTTTACTAATATTAATTCCTTTATCTTTTCATAGGGTGATCAAGATGGTACTGAGATTTCCAGCATTAAATATGACATGCATGTAAGCACCAGCTCTCCTTCTATGAATCCTATATCCCCAAAAGGATCGAACAACAAAGTCAATCTTCTTGGCGAAGTTCAATAAAATAAACCACCCCCTGTATCACCTCAATCATCTCAGCTATCTAATCTAAAAGTGAAAGTGAAGACAGAGAGCACACTGACATTGAAATTCAAGATAATAAAGATCAGTGTTAAGTAAAACCAGATGATTCTTCACCAATAATCCTTCATCATGACGAAACTCAAACAATTGATGA